AAAAAACAGCATATTTCATATCTAGATAAGAGAGTATTTGATGAAGAAGGTCATTACTTAAGTTACTCAACCTGTCAGAAGAAGAAGAAGCCATGAATTGATATATAATGTTTAAGGTTTCTCTAAGGTATATATCAAAGAACTAATGAATTGCTCTTATATAAACATAATAAACCAATTTTTTTTTTTGGAAATTTTATTAGAAGTTTGTTTTCAACTTGAATTAGAATCCAGTGCAGAGTTCTATACTGTATATGGCAGAAGTGATATTTGGTAAACCTATAAAACAGCAAGAGAAGGGTGAAATTTTGTTAATACCATTTCTGGACAGTATGAAACTACATTTCTAGATATATAAAAAGAAACCAAAAAGACCTGGTAAGGAAGTAGTTGGGACCAATTTAACCAAACCAAAAGAAACTACATTTCTACATATAATACCAAATAAAAGTCTGCTATACATGGTATATAAATACATAAAACACAAAATAAAAGTCTACCAATCACATAAACACACTTAAAAGTCTGATGGTCACCACATAAACAAACTACTCATCGTCACTAAGAACGATGGCCTCAACCCATGATGCTGCAGAAGAACGAGCTCTAGATGGACAGGCTGCTGCAGAAGTGGATGCCCGTGATGGACCGGCTTTACAAACACTCATGACACAACAAAAGCTCACCAATAATGTTGCATTCACATTTTTGTAAACAGTTTCTTTTTCACATTAGACACAAGAAGCAAATAATGGACACTTTTAAACTTCACTCTGGGCAGAGAACTGTGGCACCCTCCCAAGTGGAGTAAGATGATCCTTCATAATCTCGTACTCTTCTCCTCTCCGCTTACTTGTGCATCATCAAAAACCTGCCACAGCCAACACCAAACTGGTTGAGGAAAGAGAGGATAACCCCATGAACTTCAGACGCAGATTCATCAGGATTTAAAAACAACAAACTCGTGTGACGTGAAGTAGCTAAGTGAAAAAAGTGTTTTCCATGCCTGAAGTAACATCCACTCTTAATTACGGGCGCAAATAAGTATTCTCTTCTTCAATTTTTTTTTCTATTTCTTTTAGTTGATCAGTGAAAGAGCATTTTATTAATAATTAAGTTTGCAAAAAAAAAAAAAGAATTGTCCCATACGAAAACAAAATTGCAGTCTTCCAAAGGAAACCTCAACTAAAACATAGTAGTAAAAAATTTTTGGCAATTAATTAGTCGTAAACCACCTAGTATTCTTGTTCACCATACTGTTGGCTTGTCACCAGGAGGTGCCTCCAATTTTTATTCCAATTTACAAAACATTGCTGGCTGAACTGGTGTTCTATGTTCATTAAAATTTATTACTTCCCATTAATTCCCAGTTGATTTAACAGTTTTGAGCACTGAAAAGTCATCACCTATGTATTTGTACTATCATCAAATTCAGGCCATAGCCACACTCAATCCCCACAAATTTTGACCAAAACAACTTTACATTTCAAGAAAAATAAAAATAACCAACATGATACATCTAAACCTATCTGGCAATTGCTTCTGCATATAAGTTCTAAAATTGAATCAAATCAAATATGTTTATAGTTTGTATAGAAAATAATGCTACGTTGGGAATACTTGAAGTGTGGTATGTGCTCCCTCTATATAACACAACCATACAAAAACCGCGAAATACTTCGTTCCTGGAAATATAATTGAATATAGCTCACAGATTTAAAATGCAAAAGCACTATACATTACAAAAAGTTGCATCATATATAAAACAGAACTTGCAAACATGATTTTAAAAAGGGATCAAAAGTACGCAGAACTGAAATTTTACCCAAAAAACGTATACATCAGCCAATAAAGTGATTTCAAAAACTTGTGCCATCAGATTTTTCATGTTCATTGTACATCAATATCAGCAGCTTTAACAAGCCAGTTTAGATATCTACCTTTCGTCAATTATTTCTTTTAATAGTGGATTAAGCTCCAGTGAGCAGGAGGCGCATTTGGCCATATATATATATAGTTAAATAGAGCATAAACGGAATACATATTATAAACAAAGAGATTTGAGTCATATCTAACCTTTTGCAGCTGTATCCTCAAACTTCTCATGTTTGCTGCTACCCCAGATGCTCTACAGACGGAGAGAGCGTCAATAAACAAAATAGCAATTACGAGCCACTGCTTCAATTTGAACGGCGGTAATGCATCCACAAATGACATTGTGTTCAGTAAGCGGCCCTGCAGGTAATTATAATGTCAGTTCACATTTGATCCAATAACAATATCAGTGAGGCTATATCTGTCCTTTTTTTATTGACTGGTGAGATCCAGTCTCTTTGTTGTGGATTCTTACCACTTCTTTCTCAATGGTAGATATCAACGTTTTCAATCTAAGATCTGTAGCCACCTCTGGCAAGGCCCGACCTAGGCAACCAGCCATAGCCAACTTAATTTCAGACGACCGCCCATCACTCAGGACAATTTTGTAAGGATATTCTCTCCCATTGACCAAAGAAAACTCTTCATGAGAATTTTCATCTTGCCCATAAATGTAAGCCAGAGAAGATGAAGTTGTCCAGCCAAAAAGCGCCATATACATTGTCGCAAATGATGACAGCTGAAACATTAAGTTTGCAAATATTCAGTTAAGATCCTGAATTAACTTGTTCAAGCACCAAGCTAGTAATATTTGTTATTCATACAAATGTAGACAATATTATTATTGCGCATTGCTAAGAGCATAAATTTCACTTCAGTTATAACAAAAAGAAAGAATACAATAAAAGAAACTACCAACTGAGTTATAAAACTTACATTGAAACTGAAATCCTCTGGAGGTGGTTCATACCATGAATCCTCTAGACCAAATATCTCTGAATTAAGAACCCCGGGATTCTTTGGCCATTTCAACAGAACTAAATCTGTTTCAGTCATATTCTCATCTTTATGAGAATAATTATCAGCCTCATGGAGTTGTGGCGAAATCATGATTCCAGCTTCAGATACTACAGAAAAAGAAGATGAAGAAAATAAGACCCAACAAGATCAGTTAAAATTTTAGTAAAGGGACGTTACACAAGAAATTAAGAAATACTTGATCTAGAGAAATGATTACCAACATTTGTGACATCAACTTCACCAGAAGCAACAGCTTCAGCTGCTTGGCTCAATGCAAGTGCACAAGCTTCTGCTGATTCGAACCAATATCATCTTCCACATTTAAGCTGCTTGAGTTTTCAGCACTTTTAGGGGCATCGCTCTTCTCTTGAACTTGACAAATTTTACTATTGGATGTGCTGCTAGTTATTTCTTCATCATCCCAAGTAACGCTTCGCCTCAGGTTCTTTGTATCCAAACACTTTATAGAGGGTTTTAAACTAGCTTCATTTAACTCTACCTTTTTCTTAATAGACAGTTCCCTTTTTGATTTGTTAGCAAGTCTATTGGAATCATATAACATTTCAGGAATCCCAGAGTGAGACTCTACATACAGACATATTACTCATTGCCTCGTTTAACTCCTTCAGTTGAAAACCACTCTGCACCAGACCAGAAGACATTTTAAGATGGTTGAACTCATTTATTTCCATTTCTTCTAATTTCAACATGTAATCTTTGAGTTTGGGATCAGAATCAGATGACGACAATTGAGGCGTAATGAGTGGGTCTCCCAGTATAATAGTGGTTGTGAAGTCCAAATCATTCACCAACCTGGTTTTATCTGCTTTTGGTCTTGTGCTCTTTGATTTAAATCTTGAAGAAAGCAATGCACCTAGCTCAATATTACTAAAGTACATAATCAAGGTGATGGAAGTAAAGAAGGAAGGGTTACAAAAACCCAAAACCAAATTCTCATCAGCTAGCTAGTTTAAATAATTCAAAGAGAAAAACGCGGCAAAATATACATATGAATGTTTGTATGAATGTTATCCTTTCTTATATGAATGTTTGGAAGAAGATCGAGTCCATCAATACCAATACCCATGGGCCATGGTCAATGGAGCCCATGATTGGGTCTAGCTAGCTAGCAACCTCACCCCTCACGTGAAGCGACCCTGGGCAGTTCTGGCTTTAATTGAGATGCTAACCTTCTTCTCAAAGACAATCAATCAAAATCATCTCGTCCCTTAACCGTTTTTCTCTTTTATACGTGGCATTTTCTAAAGAGGCAGTCCTGCTAACATTTCTCTTTCCAAGACTAAAATAGAGTAACAGATTACACTCCACGTGTCACTCAAGTATCTGATTCCCGGCAAAAACTCCACTTTCTTCTCTCCTCTGCTCCTACTCTCTCTCTTTGTTTCTTTCTTCCTTCTTTACTTCTTCGAGATACGTTTCGTATTATTTTTTCAAGAGATTGAGAGTTTTTACTCTTTACGATTCCAATGGAGACTTTGATGAATATCTCCAAATCATCTCCATGTTTAACTGAATTCAATCTATTTGATGTAATTAGAAGAACCCCAAGTTCTCAAACATTGTTATGGAGGAGAAATACCAGAGCTTTTCAAGGGTTTAAATCATTAAAGAGATCTAATTTAGACAAAAATCAAAATGGGGTTTTCGTTTTAACCACTTCTCGTGATGGGGGGTATTCAACTGTTGAAGATGACAAAGATATGAATCTCATTTTAGGCAAACAAGATGCTTCTCTTAATGCACTGCATTTTCAATCTCAATCTGGTATGTTCCTCTTCTCTTAAAGGTTTCATTTTTATTGATTAGTGTGAATTCTGGATTGATTTATTGAAATGTGAGAATTTGAGCATATCTAATTTTTCAAGTCTTCGGCTTAATATAGACATTAGTCATATCCAATGTTCAAAATTGCTACTAGTTTTGATCAACTTTCTTGATTGCCTTTTTTGTTTGTAGAAATTGGGTATTTCTTTTATTTTTTCTTGGTTGAGACATACTTTTTCTGCAAATGCTCCAAACTGTTGCATTGAGGACTAAACGAATATACAGAATCT